CTCCCCGTGTAGACACAAGTTGAGGTATGGGAACATGCCCAGGTCATCCCACTCTGATCTGGCAGAGCAGAGATCTGGCATGCTCTACCCTCCTGCATTGCATCCTCCAAGTTGGCTATCATCTCCCCAGGGACAGTTAGCACCAAGCAGCCCAAACGGCAGGCAGGTGTCCTGGGACTGCATGTGAAAGGAAGTTCCAATACTGCTGTACCGCTCGACCTAGGGTCAGCCTCCCCCCACTGCTCCTTGTGCTCCACCTCCAGTCAGACCTGTGGTTGCTGGGGAGGGTGGATTTCCATAGAAGATTTTGCAGGGCTCTCTCAAGTCTCCAAGCCCTGTCTCGGCCAGGTGTTTTCTTGCAGAAAGCCCGTAGTAGAGCCTGTCTCCTCTTCCCAAGGCAAGCTAGTGGGTTGCAGCTGTGGCAGATGCTCTTGGGCGGGCTGGCTGGCCCTCATTCTGTGGAAGCCAATAGCCCCAGCAGCCTGGGAGTTCTGGGCTAATGCTCAACCCTGGCATGGTCCTCTCTTGCTAACCCCTCCAGTCCAGGTCCCTGTGACAGATGCTGGGAACATATGCTGTGAATTAATTCACTCCAGCACAGTCGCAGAGGACCAGCCTGTTCTTCTGTCTGCTCCAGTCACCTTTGCTTTCGGCTTCTCCCAATGCCTAAAGAAAATTCCAATTTCCCCTCCTCCCTCCGTCACCGTGTCCACTGGGCTCCCCCATCCTGCCTCCCCACTGTTGAAGACATTTGCCTTCTAGAGACTAATGGCATCAGAGGGCTGAAAAGGAGCCCAGAATCCCCTGCTCCCAGCTTCTTGTCCCCAGATAATGTCCCTTTTTCCTGAAATGGATGCATTCATTCCTTTTCATTGGGAATCAATCTCAACTTCTCTCCCTCTCCCTCTTCCTCCCTCCCTCCCTCTCTCTCTCTCTCTCTCTCTCTCTCTCTCTCTCTCTCTCTCTCTCTCAGGTCAGATTATCTCCATTCTGCTAGTCCTTCCTTATGTCTAACTCAAATCACTCCTGCTGCGGTGATTCTCAAGATAGAAACATGCAGCTGAATTTTGAGGGTACGTTTGAAGTTTTCCCCCTAAGGAGGGGTTGGCAGCCTCTCCTGGGAAGGACTAAGTAGTATATATCTCAAGCTTCACAGGCTGCATGGTCTATGTTGCAATCGAGTTCTGTTCACTCGGCTCCGAAGCAGTCACAGAGCATATGTCAACATATGAAAATGGCTGTTTTCAGGCAAAACTACAGAATAAGGAGTGGGCTGGCCCGCAGGACTGGGGCTTACCGACCCCTGCTCCAGTGAACCAGTGCCCCTCCTGTTTCCCAGAGTTCCTCTGTCTCCTCCGCGCTTGGGAGCAGGGCCGGGAGGAGCACTCCGGTTTCTTTCACTGCTACCTCATTAGCATCCCGAGGTCAGTCAGGGTCAGGCCTCCTTTGGCTCTGTGCTCCTGGAAGGAACATGGAGCTTGACAGAAATGCAAACATCTCCCAGTCTCATACCGAAAGCACTTCCAGGCTAGTGGAAACATGCTCCTGCAAACAGAGACGAGTTGAGAGAGAGGAAAAAGAAAGAGAGAGGGAAGGAGAATGCCTCTGGAAGACTCAGGGAGACTTGAGAAAAGCTAAGACTTGGAGACTGATGCCCCCAAGGCACTGGAAAAATAACAAACCGGTGCTCTGGGAACGTCTGGCAGCTTGTGTGGCACATAATCGAGCAACCTCCCTGCCAGGGATCCACCTAAGAAAGCAGGGCCTCTGTCCACATGAAGCCTTGTTCAGTCCCCAACTGGAAGCCACCTAAACATCCACCAGTGACCAATGAAAACAGCCAAAGATCGTGGAGAAAAAATACCATGCAGCAATAGAGATTAGGCAAATGTTTCTCCAGGGAAGCCACCGGATTTAAAACTCTACATATTCTGATCTAGAAACTGCAAACTTTTTTTAAATGTTATTTTATTTCAGTTTATGCACAGTGGTGTTTAGCCTGCATGTGTGTCTGTGTGAGGGCGTCACTTAACTTGGAACTGGAATTACAGACAGCTGTGTGTTGCCATGTGGGTGCTGGGAGTTGAACCCCGGTCCTCTGCTCTTAACTGCAGAGCCAGGAACTGCAAATTTAAGGAGTCCCAGCAGCTGGACAGTTGCCTAGGGAGCAAGACTAACCGTCAGGACAGCCAGGGAACAGCTGCACTACAGTGATGTACCCAACTCCCCAGATTTCCTAAAATCACTGAGTCGAACATTTCCAATATCACATTTGCACAGAGGTCTCCAGCCCAGTGTGCCCACAGATCCCACTAACCACTGGGCAGAGGCCTTCACCTATGAGGCCCTCATTGCTATCGGGAGCATAGTGTGATTTGTCTGTGGAGCAGGGGTGGGGGGTAAGGAGAGTGGGGTAGGGGTGGGGTGGGGTTGAAAAGCCTTGAAGGTTCGTTTCTGGGAAAATCAGTCAAGACAAATCAGCTTCCAGAGACACAGAGACACAGCGGCCAATTCCAGGGAGTGTTGTGTCATGCAAACCTCTTCATACATTCTGTCTGCCCAGCGCACTGGGCACACCTGGTCGGCCCACGATCAGACAGCCACCTCCCGCCACGACAGAGCCCACTGTTCTCGGTCCACACAGCATGAATATCTCTGCTTCCCCAGGCTGAGACATGAATAGGAATAAAAAGCAATGAAGAAAAATTTCCTGTGATGCTAGAAGGCCAAAAGAGGTGGAGAATGCCTGGGACACCCAGAGACCATGGGCACCCAGAGGCAGAGCATCCTGTCTCCTGGATCTGCCTGACCTCCGTACCCTGGCCTCTAATACCCCTCAGCCAGGCCTGGGCCATCCCAGCCTCCTGGCTCTGGGAGGGTCCTCTCCACTGGACCAACAGTCTTACTCTTTCCATCAGCCCCTTCGGATCTTTGAGCAAATGTTAGAGCAATATGAAGCCTCTCCCGATCACACATTTCTTTCTACTTTATTTTAGAGACAGGGTCTCATGTTTGCTAGCTGAGGGGGACCTTGAACTTCTGATCACTCTGCCTCCCCCTCCCCAACAGAAAGATTACGGGTGTGAGCCACCATGCCCAGTTTGTGTAGCATGGGGATTGAAGCCAGGGCTTTGTACAACACTACTAACTGAGCCATACCCCCAGATGGGCTACCCCATTTGCTAACGTGTATGTCTGGCCCCCTGTGCTCGGGCACACCGAAGGTCCCACACTGCAAGCCTGAAGACACTCCAGAATGACAAGAGATGCCCTCTCTGGGACTAGGGAAAGTGGTAGAACATTCTAGAGAATGTTGGATTCTGCCCATTCATTATGTTAGACTACGTTTGCCAGCTGAAGGCAGCTTAGGAAGGAGACAAGCACAGGAGTCATGCATGCGGAGGAATAAGCTGCTGAACACCAGCACCGTCACTCACGCAGTACTGGATGACCCTGGGCAATGTCTTCCTGTCTCTGAGTTGCAGCCTCAGCACCAGTCACATGGGCGAAGCATGTTTCACCGTGTCCCCGACAGCTGTGGGCTGGAACGCTGGGGAACTGCGTGTGCTGGCAGCTCCTCAGCTAGCATACTTGAGCCCTGGGTGTGGGCTGGAATTTGTTGCTGTTGTAGGGAGAAGAAAGGAGCCAAGCCCTAGCCATTAGCTTGGGCCAGCTGAAGACCTCCAAGGTTGTTAAGAGCCTGGAGGCCGCTATAGAGTTTGCTAGTAATTAAGGGACTAGAATGCAGCCTTTGTCCTTTGGGTTTCAGAAGGATGTAGGCTCAAGAAAAGCCAGCCTGGATGAAAACTTCTCAGTAGCCATGGGAATTATTCCAAAGAAGCCCTGTCTAGTGTGACTCTGAAACAGGAGGCAACAGGACCCCAAAGCCACTAAGTCCCTGAGTTTATAATTAACCGAGCAGTATCGACTCTGCAGGTCTGGAGCCCAGTAGCTCACCAGGGAAGGGCACTGTAGTCACACAAAAATAACCCCCTAGTGGGTTTTTGATGTGTTGAGCCTCTTTGTTTTTCTGAATTTTAATGAAGAGCTTTCCAAGCAGGAAGTCTCAGCTTCCCACTCTGTGGCCAGAGCATGGGCCTTAGCTAGCTACCGCAGCCTTCCTGGGCCTGCAAGGCCAGCACAGGCAGCAGAGAAAGGCTCTCCCAGTTTTCCACAAGATGTCCTGAGGGAAACAGAAAAACAAAGCAGGAGGCTGTTGAGGCAGTGAGTGGGGCTTTGTGGCCATCTCAGCACATTCTGGAACAGGTAGTGGTGTGGTGGAACAGGGCACACCAGCAGTGGCGTGCCAAGAAAGAAACCCGCAGGCTCCCGGAAGCAGGAGAAGCAAGGGGCCTGGCCCTGAAGAGGGTGCTTCCCTGGGTTTCTTAGGGCGGCCAGTGAGGAGCAGCTGGGCTGCTCTGGAGATCCTCAGGCAGAAGGAGAAAGAAGAGTGCTGCCTGAACAGCCACCATCCTGCCAAAGCCCCTCATCATCATATCCTGACCCTTCACACCCACTGCTTGCTGCTCAGGGGGGGGAGTGCCCGCGATGGTCCCAAAGGGCCACGCCCCTAGAACTCACAGAAGCAGTCTCTAGGTGCCATCCTTCAGGCAGCTGCTGAGGCCTCCTGAGAAGTGGCAACTGCTTCCAGGGACAGCCATCCATCCATCCATCCATCCATCCATCCATCCATCCATCCATCCATCCATCCACCCATCCTCCCTCCCTCCCTCCCTCCCTCTTAAACTTTCCTTCATGCTCTTCAACTATGTAGAGTGTTTAGAGTTCTTATCTGATTGTTTAAAAGTCACCTTCCTGCTATACACGGTATCATGTCTGTAATTCCAGCATTTGGGGGACAGAGGTTGGAGAATCAGAAGTTCACAGGGAGTCTGGGCAAATAGCAACAACAAAAACAACGATAAAAAAGAAAGAAAGAAAAAAATTGCCTTTCATCAATCATGAGTCCATCAGGGTACTGGACAGAATGGAAGAAATGCTCACAGAATAAAGCCATTTATTGAATTGGAGTGATCCAATGTGGTCTACTGAAAATAAATATTTTATTTCAAAATATTCAGTATAAAAATTGAAGCTGCTTGCAAGCTGCCTTGGTTTTAGACTTCTTGTATGTTATTCAAATGCAGTGATGATGCTGGGTCAGGTGTACCTGGGTGGTCCCACAGGGTCCTCCTTCTCTGCCCGCAGCAGGTCCCACTCCGTGAGGAGCTCTGATGACACCTCAGTGTACAGATGGTCCCAGTCCCAGCCCACGTCATCCTGCCAAGATGAAGACTGCAGTCAGTGGCCAACCTCCCACCCTACCCAGGTCCAGGAAGGTACAGGCTACGTTGGGGGCTCCCTGACGGGAGGAGCGTTGAGGCTCAGGGCAGGGATGAGTACTGTACCTCTCGAACTTCATGCTCTGGTGCCAGCACTTTGGTGAGGAGCTTCAGGTCAATTTCTCCATCCTGCGAATGTGCAAAAAGCCAGGCTGCATCCTTGGGGCTTCAGCATTACTTTTACAACTAAGGAGAGGAGCTTGTGTGCGATGAACCCCCAAACTAAGACCCCAGAAAAGGCGTGATCAAACCACAAAAACCCCGAGGGAATGGCATGGGCCCTGGGAAAGGAGGGAAGGTTGTGGCATCTCCCACACTGGCTTCGCTGGGGAAAAGCAACACCAAGAGGACAGAACATTCCACAAGGACAGACAGCAATGGGATGACCACCAGGTGGCCATGGTGTGGCCAGAGAGCAGCTGGGAGTCTGGACAGGAATCTGTGACCCATGGAGGGTCTGGGTATGCTGTGAGATGGTCGAGGATGTCACCTCCAGCATTTCTAGGCAGCCCTGGCATGTAGAGGAAGTGTGCATATCTCTAGAGGAACTGAGAACTTTCCCCTTGGAGATCCCCTGCAGCTGGCCCCTCTGGGCAGGAGTGGGTCCACTCACCAAAGTCTGAAAGGCTGAGTACTTCATGAGGTCATTGTCCAGATCGCGGTAGGTCATCACTCTGTTTACCTGGATGCTGGAGGGAAGGGAGTGAAAGACTCACAGGCAGTCCTGGTTCTAGGAGAGCTCCTGGGTTACCACCTCTAGAATCTTGTGTGCAGACAAACTGTCCTAGCAGAGTTTGACAATAGAATGGAGCCCCTTGCCAGAAAGGCCAGTAAGGCCCACTGCAGACGGCATTTGGAGTGTGTCAAAGTATATGGCCCGGGTTTCCTCACCAACTTCACGCCTAGCGTTACCAACCTCGGAGGGGACGCCACCTGCAGCACGAAGTCTTCCTCCTGCACATCTTCCAGATCTGGGATCACGGGGATATCTGCAAGGAGAGGAGCTGCTGCTACCGTCCACCACATGAACAGGGCTCGTCTACTGCCCGCTGACCGCTTGGTCAGCTTCCACTCCAGCCCTGCCACGTAGGCTGTGGTTTCAGACACTCGGACAGAGTCACACATGGAGGCACAGGCCTTATCCCAGAGCGCATGGAAGGAGCCCCTCCTGATGGACTCTGGCACCCGTGTTTCACCTTGAGTTACAGCGACTCTGATGTAGTCACCAGGGAAGGGGCGTTGCGGTGGATCTCCATGGTGAAATGTAAAGAATGAGAAGAAACGCTCAGCCCTGGGAGAAGCCTTCTATGAGGGTAGAGGAGAGCAGAACCAGGGTCTGGGCACAGTCAGAGACAGAAAGGACGGCATGCGGCTCACAAGCAGAAGTGACGCACATTCATGAGCTACACATGCACTAGCTCCAGAGAGCAGCTGTCTCAGGCAGGATCCCAGCTGCTTGCCTCTGAGGACACTTAACTCCAGTCACAGAACTTGGCTCCTGACACCATCAGAGATCAGGGTTGCCATTTTCCAGGCCTACTGTGACACTGGCTTTGTGGTCCCACTTTTTCTTGCTATCTTTGCAAGTTCTCCCTCTTAACTCTCCAGATATATTACATTACACACACACACACACACACACACACACACACACACACACACACACACACACACACACACGCACACACACACACACACGAAGATAAAAGACCACAAACAGGAAAACCAAGAGACAGGCCTGTCACTCCATTTGGGTAACCTGCATAAGTTGCCAAAAAAGTATCCATAGAGATAGACCCATTTCCTCCAAAAGACTTCCACTGGCTTGGTTAGGGGTTTTGTTTTACTCAATCAGGGCAAAGAGAAAAATGGTGGAGCAAGAAGAGAGGCCATGCGGGGTGAGGCAGTCTTGGGACTCTAAACCAACTGCAGACAGACAACAAAGAAAAACATCCTGGAGGGAGGCTAGGGCTTCCACGGGCTGGATGCAATTTTATTTCCAAAAGAGGCACAAAGTCCATGAATGGCTGGGGAGACTCCTGCCACTTCCAGCCTATTCATTATTTAGACGTGTGGTTGTTCTAGTCAAGCTAAGCCAGAGTACGTAATGTCTCTATTACTACTTCCAACTGCAGACTTACGGACTCACCGTGCCCAGAAATGGAGAGTGAGCCAGGGACGGGGGAGACGCAGAAGAGAAGAGAGAGGAGACAGGCAGAGAAGGGGAACTGTGAAGAGGGCTAGAAAGAAGAAAGTGACAACAGGAATTGAACAAGAGACACACACACCAGTCCCCAAATAACGGGACACAGTCAGCAAGCCCTGTATCTAAAGGGGACCCTTCTGAGCTTGGATCCTATCTCCCTGTCCTGTTAAAAGCGCAAGACTCGGAACCCCTAAGATTTCATTTCTACTATGAATAGAAAGCTGGCTTTCTTTTTCCTCTCCCACAATCAGTACGGCATGAGGGTGGGGCTCCCCGGCTATGAGGCTGCGCAGTCCGGCAGAGGGACAGAGAAGCTGGCTGTGCCCTGTGCCATCCACAGAGTGACAGTTTTCGAGCGAGCCAGTCAGCGCTCGCTGTTGGCTCTCCTCGGCTGTGGAGTCCAGCCTGAGATGAATATTCAGGAGTTGCTGAGAAACGGCCCATGCTGAGTAGGGCTCAGGACGGGGTCTTCCCCAAGTCCCCTTTCCCTCCACAACTCCAGCATTTGGACTCTGTCAACTCAGCCCAGCCTCCCCAAGCTCGGAGGAATTGCACTTCTGCTGAGCGCTCACTGTCACTCCCGTGGGCTTTCCTGGTGGGCCTCACTTCCCTCCTCCAAATGTGCACCGGGGAGCGTGGGGCCTGCCCATCTGCGATAGATCAGAGGTCAGCACAGGCCTTGGCAAAAGGCCGCTCAGAGTGGCACTGGCGAGGTTGGCCACACAGTGGGACTTCTCTCTAATTGGAAGCCTGGTGCCCAGTAGAACCCGTGAACCGCCTGAGTGAGACAGAGCCAGCCATGACAGCCAGGCCAAGACAAGCTGGAACATTCCGGTGCAGTGACAGCTTGAGCTATTGCAGCAGGCAGGCCATCCAATTCCCCACTCCCAGTGGAACAGGTGGCCGTGGAGCAGGTTTTGGGCAAACTTCAAAGAACTTCAAAATTTTAGAGTTTGGATTTACAGTCGCAGACAAGAGCTTGCTTATGTGTTCAGAGGATGCTCTGGGAAATCAGTTTTTACTTTCTTTTCTTCCCTTCCCCCAGCCTGACCCCTCTGTCACATATAGCATGACCAAAGCTAGAGGGGGGGGGGGGGAGGGAGAGCAGGGAGAAAGGGAGAAAGAATACAAACTTTGGAAACATGCTTCTTCAGGGCTGGGGAGGTGGCTCAGTGGATAGACTGCTTGCTCTGCATGCAGGAGGACCTGAGTTCGGATCCCCAGCACCCAGGAGAAAGCTGGGTGTGGCAATGTAACCTGTAACCCAAGTGCTGGGGGAGGAACAGCCAGAGCCTTGGAGCTCACTGGCCACCTAGCTTAGCCAATCAGGGGGAAACTGTCTCAAAAACATGGAGAGTAATAAAGGAGGGTGCATATGCACCCTCACATACACAAACACACATGCGCTCTCTGGCACACATGGGGCATAATTTGGACTTTCAGAACACACCGTTCTAATAGAGAACAGGGAGGAAGGGAGTCAGTTTAGTTCTGTTGAGAAGTTTCCATTTCATCCTTTTCTGCAGAACTGAGGCCACAGCCCAGGGCGTGTGTGTCAGGAAAGTCCTCTCCCACTGATATACCCCAGCCAAGATACCACTGTTTCTAAGAGCCAGTAATTCCACATACTATGTCCTTTCCTCCTTCCTCCACTCTTCCCTGAAAAGCAGGGACAGTGGTGATGAGGTAAGCAGAGCAGGTGTGCAGAATTCCTCTCCAGAGTCAGGAGCACAGGTCCTGGAGTCGGGAGTGTGAATCCAGGCTCCCCTGCACACGTATGCCCTCTGTGCCTCAGTTTCTTCATCTACAAATGAATGTCATCACTGCTCCTGGCTCTTTGGTCACTGTGAATATCAAATGCAATGATCTGAAATGCTAAGCACTACTACTCCATTGGGAACTGCTGTAACACGGAGCATGGAGAGAGGCTGTGGCCCTGTGTCACTTCCTCAGTCAACCCTGCCGGCCACAATCGTTTTCAGAGATGAGCTTGGAGGTGAAGGACTAAATAGCCTGTGTGAGATGATGCCCTTAAAACAAGCGACAGAAGCAGGCTTCTGTCTCCTCCGAGGCTCTCTCACACCGGGAAGTTTCCTTTTCTAATGTAAGCATCTCGCCCCCAAGACACCTGCCTACAGGGGAAGGCCAAGAGACTTCCAACAGTAAGATGGCTTCCCTGGGTTCCCGGATCTAAATAAGCTTAGTCCCCACTCAAGTGCCTGACTTGCTACAGTGTACAGTGTACAGAATGGCAAAAGTGTTGCTGGACCAGAGAACCTGGTGACACCCCCCCCCCATGTCTCACTAAACTGGGGAAGGGAGCTGGGTATCTTCAACAGCCGGGAGAAGGGGGAGGAGAGGGGAAGGACTCATCCCTCACCTCCTGGCTTGGATCACAGTGGAGACTCCCTGCCCCCAGTGTCCACGTCACAGCCCCAGGTCAGGATACTATGACCTCTCTCCTTGCCCTGCACACGCCCTCCCTGCCTACGTCAGCTACCTCAGTAAGCTGCACAGGCTGCTTCTCTGCCCCGCACGGTGCCTGGTTCAGTCAAACTGGGAAGTATTGTCCTCTCGTTTGTCCAGCCTGGTCACCCATCTATCTGCCCATCCACCACCCATCATCAACTCAAGAACCCACTATACGAAAGGTGCCGTGCCAGGGGAAGCACACAAGGCAGGCAGAGCCTAGTCCTCGTGAAGACCAGTCAGACAAACATAATAAACGGAAACAAATATCCTGCTCACAAATAAGAACACATGCTAGGAAGGAAACCGACTTTATCCGTGAGAAAACAACAGGGAAACCTAACAGCTATTTTTTTTTCTAAAGTAAAGTGAAAGTCACATTGTAAGTGCAATGAATTAGAATGGTATAGTGAAGTGTAGCATGGAAAGTTTAGCTTCCTTCTGCAAGCCCAAGTCCTTTCCTCAGAGATAACCACTTCACCTTTATATGGATTTATGGGGCCCTGGAGCACACCACAGCACATCTGTCCTTTTGTTTTGTTTTTGTTTGTTTTGTTTTTGTTTTTTTGAGACAGGGTTTCTCTGTATTGTTTTGGAGGCTGTCCTGGAACTCTCTCTGTAGACCAGGCTGGCCTCGAACTCACAGAGATCCACCTGCCTCTGCCTCCCGAGTGCTGGGATTAAAGGTGTGTGCCACCAACGCCCGGCCACATCTGTCCTTTAAAAGTGCTGCAATTTCTGTCTTCTGGACATACAGGTGTGTCATACTCTTTCAAACAGTCATGTCATATTCTACTACATGAAAGTACCATGATGCATGTAACCCAGTCCAGGAAGGATCTGGTTTAGAATATGGGGCGTGGGGTGAGGATTTAAGGGAAGTCTGCTGGAGTTGGGGACAGAGCAGCTGAGAAACACACCAAGGGAATAGGGGAGAGGCACAGCCCGGCCTTTGTGATCAGCCCTGAACCCCACAGGCAGAATTAAAGGCCTCAGGTTTTTGTCCTTGCATAATTCATTCGTGACCTCGGACAGACCTCACGGTGGTCTGCAGGAAGTAGAGTAAGTGGAATTTACCCTGTGCCCCCACCCTCGTGGTGGTAAACCAGCTGAGGTCAAAGACATGTCCCCAAATAAATAGCAGCAAAATAAAGAAGGGCTGAGCAGAATCAACAGATGCCCCTCAAAAGCAGTCAAGCACACAGAAGGACTCAGTCAATCTCCTTTACATTCTTCCAACTACAGGGTGGGTTCCACTGAGGCTCGAGCTGCTGCAGCAGGATTTGCTCTTCAGGCCAACCAAGACTGACCCTT